AGACCCTCTACCTTATCAAATATGATATCCTTCTCCAGCTACTGGTCCCTTCTGACAATATGTCTGAAGTATGAGAGACGAAGTTTGGCCATCCTGGCCTTCAAGGAGCACTCAGGCTGCACTTCCAACACAAATTTGTTTGTTCTTCTGGCAGCCCGTGGCGCTTTCAATATTCTCCTCCAACTCCATAACTCAAAAGCATTGATTCTTCTATGGTCTTCCTTATTTACTGTCCATCTTTCGCATGCATATGAGGTTATTGAAAATACCATGGTTTGGGTCAGGCGCACCTTAGTCCTCAAACTGACATCTTTGCTCTTCAACACTTGTTCAGCAGATTTGCCTAATGCAATACATGGTTTGATTTCATGACTGCTGCTTCCATGAGTGTTGATAGTTGATCCAAGAAGAATGAAGTCCTTGACAACTTCAATCTTTTGTCCTTTGATAAGAACGCTGTTTATTGGCCCAGTGGTGAGAATTTCTGTTTCCTTTACATTGAGATGCAATCCATACTATGGTCTTTGATATTCATCAGTTAGTATTTTATTCCTCTTCACTTTCAGTAAGCAAGGTTGTATCATCTGCATATCGCAGGTTGTTAATGAGTTTTCCTCCAATCCTGATGCCATGTTTTTCTTCAGATAACCTAGTTTCTTGGATTATTTGCTCAGCATACGGGTTGAATATGTATGGTGAAAGAATACAACCTTGTTGCACACCTTTCTTAATTTTAAACCATTCGTTGTTCCCATGTTCTGTTCAAACAACTGCTTCTTGGTCCATGTACAGATTCCTCATGAGCACAATTAAGTGTTCAGGAATACTCATACTGTGCATTGTTGTCCATACTTGTCATGATCCACACAATTGAAAGCCTTTGCGTAGTCAATAAAGCAGATGTAAACATCTTTCTGGTATTCTCTGCTTTCAACCAAGATCCATTGGTCATCAGTAATGATATCCCTGGTTTCATGTCCTCTTCTGAATCCAGCTTGAGCTTCTGGAAGTTCCCTGTCAGATATGGTTGCAGCCGTTTCTGTATTAACCTTTATTGAAACTTAACTCTTCCATGGGATATCAAAGGTATTGTCTAATGATTTCCATATTCTGTTGGGTTACCTCTCTTTGGAATAGGAACCAATATGAATCTCTTCCAATCAGTTGGCCAGATAGTTGTCTTCCAATTTCTTGGCAAAGATGAGTGAGTCCCTCCAGTGCTGCCTCACTTTCTTGAAAGATTTCAGTTTTCATTCCATCAGTTCCTGGAGCCTTGTCCTTTGCCAGTTCCTTCAGTGCACCTTGGACTTCTTCCTTCAGTTTCATTGGCTCTTGATCATATGCTACTTTAATAGCATTTAAATATATAGTGTAAGAAAATTTATATGAATATCTGTTCATTTCTTCAAAAATGTTTATTGCTTTCAATTTTATTTATAAATTTAAGTGGTATAAAGTACATTTTCATTTTATTATTGGTAATCAAAGTTTCTGTTTTTACTTACTCTTAGTAATCAAACTAAATGTAGATGGTATATCATATTTATATGGCAGATTAAAAAAATTTTTTTTTCATTTAGTTCAGGGGTGGGTAACATCTGGCTCATGGGCCATTTAAGGCCTGCAAAATCTTTTGGTCTTGCTCTGCCAAAGCAACTGTAATTGGAGCCATAACATTGGTGATGGTGGTTATGTGCCATGGAGTCGGTTCCAACTCATAGTGACCCTGAATAGGGTTTCTGAGACTATAAATCTTTACAAGAGCAGAAAGTCTCATCTTTCTCCTGCGGAATAGCTGGTAGTTTCGAACTGCTGATCTTCAGATTAGCAGCCAGACTCATAACCACTATGCTACCAGAGCTTGTTAGCCATCACATT